GGAAGCACAGAACACAAGCGCCTGATAAGGCCAGCAGGTGGGCTCCAAGCCTGGGGACTGCGGCTGAGTCCAGCCGGCCACTATTTAAGGCACGCAGTTGCCATTCTTTACAAACAAGAAACACTGGCTAGGGAGATGGCTCACTGATTAAGTCGCATGCCACTCAAGTGTGAGGAACAGAGTTTGGGACTCCCTGAATCCAAGAAAATCCCCAGTGGAGGGTAGCAGCTCACTCGTAACTCTAACTTCACAAGGCAGAGATGGGATTGCTAGAGCAAGCTGACTAGTCAAACTGACCATATAATTGCTGAGCTCAGGGTGTGGTTAAGAAAGCCTGCTTCTCTGAATGAGGTGGAAGGGCTACTGAAAATGATTCCCAAGATCATCCTTGGATCTTCATCCATGAGTCCCCACATGCTTACCCCCCGACACAAGTAAACATGCATGCACATGTGAAAAACAAAAAAAGAAAAAGTTGAGAAACAGGCAATTCAACTGCACAAGAAACACAGTGGCAATAAAGACTGAGGTTGCCACAAGGGGATAAGCACAGGAGAGCTGCCTCCAGGAGCAGCCTGCAAACAGCCTCAGGCTCCATGTCCATCCAGCAAGTTTCAGCTGCCATGTGCACCAGCCTAAGGAGATCGCCAATGGTGCCTGATGGCATGAAACCAGCACCTAGAGGGCTGGTGGCTGACCTGGGGTTCCCAGGAACCACAGCTTCCCTTAAGCTCAATACTCTCAAGTGCATTTCACAGACGAGGTATAGGTCATTGCTACTTCTATGAAAGAAAAGAGAAAAAGAAAACGGCTTACATAGGAAAGTGCTGGAGTTACAGCTGAAAAAGAACACAATGTAAGACACCAGCCAGTGGCTCCTCCTGGCACACGAGCCTCCAAGCAACAGTGGAGGAAACTGTGACACCAGCTGCATCCAGCAGGGAACCAGGTCCCGGACACTGTGCAGAGGAGAGGTCTTGACATCACTCTCTCGAGACCAGCCCCAGGCAAAAGGCCAGAATTATATTTATACTTTCAAAGGTACGTGCTCTGCTGAACTCTGTTGGGAGTTGTGACCAGGGCCACGGTGAGAGGAGACTCTCCAGTGTCGGCTCCCACCTGTGCTGTGGAAGGTGACACTCTACCTAGGCCCTAATTGGGCACCAGGCTGTGTGTATGTGTACGTACAGAAAAGTGCAGAGCAGTCAACAGCAGAACAAAAGCCAGCTGCCACTCGCAGCTAACACCAAGGGCTGCAGAAGTGAAGTGCAGAGTTAAAAAGTAAAACAAAAAGCAGGATTGGGGTTGGGCAGATGGCCCAACTGGTAATGTGCTTGCCACACAAGCATGAAGACCTGCATTCAATCCCAGCGCCCACATAAAAACCAGCGGGGGCAGTGGGTTACCCCAGTGCTGGGGAGATGGAAAAGAAAATCTATCCAATCAATCGTGTGAACTGATGAATACCAACTCCAGTAAGGGACCAGGTCTCAAAACATACAGTGAGGGCTGATGAAAACACTCAAATGTCAACCTCCGACCTCGTGTATGTGTGCACACACACCCCCCCAACACCCACACCAGCACCAAATCAGCGAGGACAACAGCAAAGATACCTGCCGTCCCTTATAATCTGACATTAGCACAAGGGCATTCAAATGAGTTGTCTAATGACACTGGGTTAAAACAGGCTCCATGCCTTAACTACTGCACAGACCTTGCTTTCCAGTCGGCTAAGAAACAAAAGTGTACATTTACATGTAAAGTCTGTACATACAAATAAAACACTCATGCTGCTAAAAGTCCAAATTCTAAAAGGCAATAAAAGTGAAAGTTAGGTCTTTCCCTGTTCTATGCCTTCCTACTGTTCAGTTATCACCTTCTAGAACATTAGAAAGACTACAGATAAAGGCTCCCTATAAGGGCAGGCAGACATCTACACTAAGGTACCACACTATTGTGAGACAGGGACACTTCGGTATTCATCTGTGACACAGGAACTCAGGCTGGTCTTCTACCTGCCTCTAGGCCTTAGAGTCTAGGGGCTGTAGCTCACAGCGACCAAAAGCCAGACACAGGGAAACAACCTTGGGTCTTCCAGAGACACCCAGGCAGCAACAAAGGTGGGCCATCAGATGCAGTGTTGCAGACAGTATGCGTCCCAAGCCTAACATCAGCTCCAGGCATTCTTGGAGGGACTAAACATGGAGCAGCCAAGCCAGCTACTCTAATTTCTCTCTTCCCCTCGTATAAACCTTCCCTGCCCATTGCTTTCCCAGTGTTAGTTGTCCATAAGTCTGCAGGACACCTGCACCTCCACACAGCATGGTGGGGTGCAACAGGATCTCTTAAATGGGAGTACCCTCATTAAGTCTCCTGCGGTGTCCAGTGGGTGGCACCTCCCTGTGCCCATATGCCTAGGGCCTGGAGACTAAATACAAAACGCCAGCCATCTGCAGGAGTGGCAGGATGTGTGCTGTCAGAACTTTGCTCTGGCATCACCATGCCTATTGGAGCCGGGCCACAGTGACAGCCCAGCTGTGCTTTCCTTAACTCAGATACCCGAAGAAAAGCCTGCCAGAAAAGACGTCCAGCGTTTAGGCAAATTCCATTCAGGGATCCGAAGTTAGGGTAGAACTTGTCATCACCTTCTCTGGGATGGGCTTGGATGATGGGGCTGCAGCTGCCTCTGAACCTGCACTAAACTAGGACTGGCTCCCGTAGAAGCTGGCTCTGCTGTCCAGGAAGTAAACTCAGATCTAGTTAAATTTCAAAACCGGGAAAACCCATCAGAGCTGGGACGGGAAATGGTTGTACCACAGAGTCCATGGGAAGTTACCCCCAAAAACCCTGTGACAGAAAACCACTTCATGGTTTCAAAAATAACAAACTGTGAAGAACTTTGGCTGACAGAACAAGACCTTCTGAGGCCTGCCCTTCATCTTGCCGTGACAGAAAGCGGCGAGTACTTCAGACCCCAGTGTGCAGATCTTAGCCTGTTATTTTCTGTCCACTAAATGCTTAAGCTGCTTGCTAAATCTGTAGTTAAGTGACAGATGGGCTGCTAGGGGCTGAGGTGGCCTGTGTGTCCTTAATCCAAAGCTACACAGTAACCCCTCCCAGGGCAGTTTAGAATCACTTGGAGTAGGAAGTTTCTGTGCTTCAGACTTAAAGGAACCTCGTCCTTAAGGGGAAGCAGGCTTCTTTTGCTTGACAGAAAACTTCTCAATAAAGTCTTCCATAAAGGCAAAGGCTCTGCAAAGCACAGCTTAGGGGATGTATAACAGAGAAATCTGAGGCCATTTACCAGCACATTCTTTAGCCACAGGCTATAGACACCCAAGCAGTTACACACACCAATGTTCTGGGCAGGGCCTCGAGGGCACATGTTTTTGGGTAACAAAAACCTGGCCCTAGAAGCAGACTAAGTGGGCTAGGGTTGTGGCAAGGATGGATGTGAGCTTTCTGAGAGGAAGACCGAGTAGAGAGGGGAGGGGCAGGAACATGAGGGATGAGGCAGAGGCAGCACGAGTGAGACAGGTCAGATTGGGGTGGCTGTGGGAACCCACAAGACAGGGTAGAGGCAGGCGAGTAAAGCCAGGAGTGGAAAGAATTATTAGGGATGGGTTTGTCTAAGGTGACCAGAGTGGGGAAGCAGCGGGTAACCAGGCTGGAATGGGGTGGGATGAACCAGCATGGACTTGGTTAGGGAGGAGCCCCCAAATCCACAGGAAGGGGTCAGGGCTCCCTTGGAGGAATATCTTAGGAAGGTTTTCAAGCAGCAGATCCAGGAGGAGGAAGGAAGACCCTGGAGAGAGTTGTAGGGTAGGAGGTTGTGGAATGAAACAGGGGGATGATTATGCTCAGGGATGGCCGCACCCTAAGCCCTCCTACTGGGCACAACCCCAAGCTGTAGGGACAGCAGCAGAGGCTCCAGGCAGAGTCCCACAGGCAGTTGCCTTGTCTCCTATCTGCCTGGCTCCAGATACAAGCAGGGAAGGGGATAAAACCTGGGGCCCCGATATGAAGCAACTTGGCCTTCCCCTTCTCCAGGTTCAAATGTCGACCATCATGTTTCCACAGGTGATAGCCAACCCCATTAGAGGCTTTGAGAAGAAGCCGGTGCCTGGCAAAGTGACAACTTCAACGGACTTCACAAACTTCACCTTAATACCATGTCTGATAAATTACACATCTAAAAACACCACCTCCTCTCAGAGTTGGTTCCTCATAGCTGGAAATACTACTCTGCCCATAAACCGCAGGCCACAGAAGTCTGAAACCGTGAACTCTACTCAAAGAAAGGCCCCCCGCAGTGACCACAGCACCACAGACCTGCCCAGAGTAGGAGAGGTTCTGAGTGCCAGGTCTCACAATGAGAGCCACAGAAACAGATGGTAACTGTGCCTGGATCCAGGTTCCCACCAATCAACCGCAGCACACCGGTTTCCTCTCACGTGGGAACTAGGTTGTATAAAGTTGATTCAGAGCACAACCACCCCAGGGAGCGTCGCTAACAGCCGAAATAGTGTACTCGACACAGGAAACAATCTGCAAACATGGATGTGGAAATCCTCCCGCCGGGTTATGCCAGGGGGTTCGCACGTCCGCTCCTGCTCCAGATGACCATCCAGTTTCAGGCACTAGGCCACCAAAATACAGTCGGCCTCCTAGCTGAGCCAAGACGCTCGAAAGGTGCTGCCAGGTGCGAGGGACACCCCCACCCCGCCCACCACCAGGCCTCCTGCTGGCGGGAACCCGCTCCAGGCCCGGGATGAGGTTGTGGAGCCCGAGGGATGGAGTGCAGGGTCCCGTGCCGAAACCAAACACAGTATAAGTCGGCATGTGCGCAGGCGGCGGGAAGCGGGACCCTGGCGCGGGCTGGGAGAGTGCTGCAGGGGAGGGGCGCGGCTCTCCAAGGACCGGGCGGCGCCCAGCCCCTCCCCACCGCATCCCGGACGCATCCCGGGCAGAGTACAGCAACGCTGCGGAGAACCCACCTGGGCCTTCTGCAGGGCGCTCAGCCGCAGTTCGTGCACGAAGGGGTTCCGCCCCGGGGGCGCTAGCCGCCGCGCGTCGCCTGCCCCTGAGCTGGAGGAGGGGGCGGCCCGCGGGCCGCGACCCCGCAGCCTCATGGCGGCCCGCGCCTGAGCACCGAACGGTGCAGATGGAGCACAGCCGACGGAGCTCAACGGAGCGGAGCCGAGCCGAGCCGAGCGCAGAGGAGCAGAAGCGGCGGAGGTAGCAGAGCGCGCGGGAGAGGGCCGAGGATGCGCGGCCGCCCGGAGGCGCAGGCGCGGGAGGGGCGGCGTGACGTGGGTGGGACCAACGGGACGCCCCGCCCCGACCTCTCTGGACTATGATTGCGCCTGCGCAACTCGAGGCTCTTGGCCCTTCCTAGAACCCGGAGGGAATGTATTATTTCCCATGAGTGGGGAGACCCTGAGATTTAGGCCGCAGAAACGAGGCTTGTGGGCGCAGCGGCCTCTGAGGACTCCACTGACGCAGCTGAGCCGGCCTGCGACCCTGGAAAGAGGTTCTTAAGGCGACTCGGGACTATGCCAGGCCCTCTTCTCCGCGCAGCACTGTCCTCGCAGGCAGCTTCCTTCCCCTAAACATTGTAATCCATCTGTGGCCATCCTGGATGAAAGGGATGCTTTAGAGGACCCTAATTTGTGTTACGCTGTTAACTAGGGCTCGAAATAGCCTTTCTGTTAAAATGTATACATTTGACTTACTGAATGCCTTTTATAGTTTGTATCACTGTTTTTAACTAGGACACAAAAATAGCTTTCCAGTCAAAATGTACACATTTGAAAAACTCACAAATGTCTTTTGTAACAATACTAGGTGTATTTATTTGTGTATCGTAGAACCATCAACAGGCAGGTGGTGGGAGACAGAGGATCCAGCCTCAATCACCAGACTGGAAGAAGGAGCCAGGTTCTGCAGAATTCCAGGCCCCCTTAGCTTCCTGTCTCACCTCCCCCAAAGCCCCGTGTTCCTGTGGACACCAGAGCTCCAAGACCTTTCGTAGAAGCCTGTTCATGGGGTGACCAGAGCCTGTGATAACTGCTGACAAGTGGGACCATGCCGAGCCCTGTTCTGTGTTTTGAGAAGTCGCAGGCCCTGTCACTTCAAAGCTTCATCTTGTATTCCACACCCGACTTCACCTTGAGACCCTCTTTGTCTACTCCACAAGGTGAGCCTTGCAGCGGTAGCACACGTGGCTCTTCCTAGCCTGTGGAGGCCCTTAAGAAGGACTGTGAGCAGCCTTAATACTCGTGTTGCCCTGTGGCCTACCCATGAGCCTTCCACTGACTCTAGCTTTTAATTCCCATTTTCTCCAGTCTTAGACACAAGAGTGCAGTATCCAAGGATCTGCAGCAACTTGTCAGGAAAACCCCAGGACACAAAGGCCTGTTTGCATACAGACCATTACCCCAAGGAAGACAGGCTGTCCCGGTGCTACCTGAAGTCTACAGAGACCTGAGGGGGTCCTGGGCCAGGATTTCTGTAGCCTCAAAGCTGGGTCTCAGAGAGTTTTGGACATCTTGTGTAGGTGTGTTAGCCCAGGTTTTCCAGTCACAGAGGACAGGATAGAGTCACATATACTTGATATAAGCCCAGTGTGCTGGTACATCAATGTTGCGCAATCGAGGAATTTGAGGCAAGAGGCCATCCTGGATTAGGTAAGGAGAACCTGTCTCCAAAAGCAAAATACCAACACACACACACACACACACACACACACACACACACACACACACATTTGTTCTTGGCAGTGTGTAAGAGAAATACCTACTGAGGTGAGCAGACATCCAATTGAAGCTCTTGGCTTGGGGAACTGTTAGAGCATGCTGTGGACTGAGCTGGGTTCCCCTAAGTCCTACTATGCAGTACCTGTGGAGGTGACCTTATGTGGAAAGAAGGTCTCATGCAGATGATCAAGATGAATCTAATAGGTTGGTGTGACCTATCCAGTATTACTGACTGCCTTTATAAATGGGGGTTTTGAACAAGGAGACAAGTGCGGGAGGGGATGTGTGTGATACCAGAGTTTTGCTGATATAGGCTACTCAGGCACCAGAAGCTAGAGAGATCTGGGAGGGACCTCCACCAGGCATATCAGGGAGAATTGGCCTCCACCTGGATCTTGAACGTCTATCTTTCTGGGCAGTGAGGAGATACAGCTATTTCTTCATCCCAGTTCATAGTCATTCGTTCACACCCTCAGGAAGTTCACATTGCAGTATGAATGCCCGAAAGGAATGGTGTGAGAGGGACACCCTGTCCCAGCCCCACAGTCTAAGCAGAGTGACTAGGCCAGGCAGGATCAGTGTGCGAGTCCCAGGAGTGGACTTGCCTTAGCTCTGCCTTTGTGGAAGCCCTGTGAGAAGCGTGGCCGGGTGGAAACCCACTAAGGATCCTTGGGTCATGAGGCATGTTTGGAGGAGGCGGGGGAAGGAAGTGATTTGTTTAGATCATGTTTTGAGACACAAAGGCAGGAAAGTGTCTGTCAAAGGGAAGACAGTCCTGTTCACAGACCAACGCACAGCAGAGGCTAGGTGGGAAGTCCTCTGTCTTAGTCTGTCCTGCTGTAACGAAACACCCAGGTGTAGGTGGTTTATAAGACACAGAAAATTATTCTCTTACACTTCCAATCTCAAAATAGGAGCCGGCAGGCTTGGAATCTGACGAGGAACCAATCTCTGCTTCCAAATGCCACTTGAGCATGATGGTGTCCCACAGAGGGGACTCCAAGTCCTTTCGTAGCAGGAGGGTGGTAGAGTAGAAACTCTAAGTCCTTCTGTAGCTATAGTGGCAGAAATCATTTCCTGTCCTCTCATGTTTAATTTGCTTTTCTTTCACTGCCTTTGTAAGGTAGGAGTACAGATTGCTAGTTGCAGGCTCTCATGTTCAACACTGTCCATTTTCTTATAAGCACAGCTTTGTCAGCATCCCACAAACACTGGCCTGCTGGTTTTCCACTTTCCTTTGATTTTCAATTTACTTTCTATTTTCCCTGGTCTCTTTGACCTATGTGTTGTTTAGTTAGCTGCATAGTTATGTCCAAACATTTGGAAAGGTGCCAGACAAATTTCTGTCATTAATTTTAATAACTCCTTTGTGGTCACAACACAGAGGCTCTGTGAGCTCATTGCATTTATGGCCTGTAATTATGCATTTGGGGTGCAGTGTTCTGTGAATGCTGGTGGGTTGCAATGGTACATAGTTTTGTAAGTTCCACATCGTCCTACACGTGTGTTACTTGTTCTGTTCTTTACTGGGGCCAACTTTATTTGGACACTTTTCTATTTTACTTTTCGATGCTTTTAGCTCTTGTCTTCTGTGTTTTGCCACAGCGTCTTTAGGTATACACATACTCAGAAGGTGTGTTCCTCCACTAACCAACCTGTTTATTGGGATAGAGTCTCTGACCCATCCTTATTGCTGTCCGCTGTTTATTGGTATCTTTCCCCATCTTGTTACATATTTTTGCTGTTTAGCCAACCTCTAAGTCTAGCCTTTTTGCAGCAGAGTTTAGGCAAATGGGCTTGGAGATTCATCCAACAATTTTAGCAACTTGAGAGGCTGAGACAGGACGATCTCTGTGAGTTCAAAGCCAACATAATGTACATGACTAGACTCTTATTTCAAAACCAAAACAAAACGCCACCCCAAACAAACCAAAAGAGCAATGTTTAGATCTCCTGTATCTGAGATGCCAGCAGACTAAGGTTTAAACATTCAGTCCTGCTGTTTGCTTTCTGATTCTCTTCTCTGGCCTTGCTTTGTGCTTTTTGCTTCTGGATCAATTTAGCTGGTTTTCCATCTTATCTCTGCCATTGGCTCATCAGCCATACACCTTTACTAACGTGTGTTCTCTGAAGGCATTTCAAATCGTGATGCCAGTTCACTTGGGAGGCTTCACAGTATCCACTCTCGTTTCCTTCCCGCCCTTCCTGCCACTGCTCTTGTATATTTTAATTTTATATATGCTAAACCTCCACAGCACACTATTATTATTGTTGCTTTGAACAGTCAATTATCTTTTCAAGTGATTGTAAGGAATTTTAAAAAGACTTTTGTATCTGTGCCAATGGTTGCCTTTTAAGCTCACTCATTGCCCTGTACATTTCTGAATTTTTCTTCTCGTGTTGTTTTCCTTCCTTCTGTGGAAATTATACTAAATGTTTTGAAGTGTAGAGCTGTTTGCTCATAGTTCTCTCATTGAGGCTGTCTGAGGTGTTTTTAGTTTACCTTTGTTTCTGGGGTTTCCTTCTGATGACTGTAAAACTCTGCGGCCGCTAGTCTTTGTTTAATGACTCTGTGTGCTTCCATGTCTTTGCCAGTCCTCAGTCCCTAGACCAGCATCCATGTCATGGTTCCTGACTGGCTGGATTTGCAGTAGAAGTGCATCTTTGCATGTGCTCATTTGACATCTCTAACTCACCTTCAGTGAGCTGTCTGTCCAGATATTTTACATTTTTTTTTTGTAGTGCATCTGTTGAGGTGCTTTGTTTCTGAGAGAGAGTCTGGGCATATACCCTGAGTATATACTCTGAAACCCAATTTTTCTTCTACCTCAGCCTACTGTGTGCTAGGACTATAGACAGACACCCTGTGAGGTTTAGTATATTCTGAATTCGTTTCTTTCTAGCTAATGTGACTTGAAAATACACTCTATTATCCTCTGGCTGTCTTCTCACTCTTTGAGCAGGGTTTTTAAAAATAACGTCAGAGAGAAAATTTGAAGAGCTCGTATGTGTGCTGGCTCTCTCCTTTTTCCTCTTTGGCTGGCTGAAGGCAAGATGGGTCACCAGCAGCTCTACTGGAGTCACCCGCGGGAATTTGGTCAGGGCTCTTGCTTTTGCCGCGTCTGCTCTAACCGACATGGCCTGATCCGGAAATATGGCTGAACATGTGCCATGCATAGTCAGTACACCCCTGCTACATGTGGTAGGTTTGAGTTACCATAAAGGATCCTTTCACTTTTTGACTGTTTATTGCCAACATACAAAAATACATTTGTCTCGCATCTTAATTCCATGTCTTTGAGTCTTATCAGTTTCTTGTGAGTTCTGGTAGCTTTTTCATTGTTTCTGGATTTCCTAGGCACAGAATCAGGCTTTCTGCCAATGAAGACAATCTTGCTCCCTCTCTTCTCATCTTGCTGTCTTTCACTTGCTGGGTTTTACAGGTTAGACCACCTGGTCAACCTGATGGACTTGAGGAGTGTTCGCCCTTGCCTTTCCTTTCAATGTGGGTTGCAAACAAGCTCAAGGATATTTGCATCTATACCCATGAAGAGTCTGTCCAGTGGAGGCTTTTCTCATATTGTCTATGCCTTGCTTGTTAGCAAAACAATGTTGGCCTCATGGACAAGTTTATGCCTGTTCTGTCCCCTCTGGATTTCTTGAACAGCTTGTGCAGAATGCTATTAGTTTTTCTATAAATGTTGTTAGACGTTCTCAGTGAGGTTATCGTTCATCTAAGATCCAAATAACTCTATAGAAGTATGGTCATTCTGCCTATCCCCAAGTAAGCTTTGATGTGTGTATCTTTCTAGGAATCTGTTCATCTCATCTAAGTTGAGAGACGCACTATCATATTGATACACTCTTGTTTTAGTTTTGATTTTTTGTCTTCAAGACAGGGTTTCTTTGTGTACTACTGGCTGTCCTAAAATTCAATCTGTAGACCAGGCTGACCTTGAACTTACAGAGATCTTCCTGCCTCTGCCTCCCAAGTGTTGGGATTAAAGGCATATGCCGCCACTACCCAACTGACACATTTACAATATTAACTTAAAGAATACCTGTAGAGCACGATGGATGTCACTGTGCTCATTCCTGCCTGTGGTTTCCATGATCTCTCACCATGCCTGCCCTTAATGGTGGCCCCTGTGTTCTTACAATGCTCATTCTTGATGGCTCCCATGTCCTCTCACCATGATTAGTTACTCTTGCTTGTTCCTGTGATATTTGGTCCCTGAATGGTCAGGTCATATATTCCCCAACTTTGTTGATCTTAGAGAAGTCTCTGGTCTCTCTGACATCTTGTATTATTTCATTTAATGTGCGTGTACATGTTTGTATGTATGCGCTTGTGAGGGAGTATCTCACATGTCTGTGCTCGTGTGTGTGTGTGTGTGTGTGTGTGTGTGTGTGTGTGTGTGTAGAGGCTTAAGATCAACAGAATCTGCCTACATTGCTTCTGTTGTTTGATTTTGGGGTGTGTGTGTGTGTGTGTGTGTGTGTGCGTAGTTGCACAAGGAAGCAAGAGGTTGATCAAGATGCCTTCTATGTTGCTCTCCACTTTATATATTGAAGCAGGGTCCCCCACTTGACCCAAGAACTTGCTGATCCAGCTAGTCTAGCTGATGCAGACATCTTGCTTCTGGACTCCCCTGTCTCTGCTTCCCAAGTGCTGGGACTACATGCAGGCTGCTATACTCACCTGCCGTTTACATGGATGCTGAGGGTCCAAACTCCAGCTTCCACACGTGCACAGCAAGCACTTGATTCAACCAGCTCTCTCCCCAACCCCTTGCCTTTTTTTTGAGTGAGGGTCTTTCACTGGGACCTGAAGATTACCAACCAGGCTGGGCAGGCTGGTCATTAATTTCCAGGGTTGTTCCTGTCTCTGTGTTCCCAGTGCTGAGATTACAAATCTGTATCACTATACCCAAATTTGTCTTTCTCATCCCTCCCTCCCTCCCTCTTTCCCTCCCTCCCTCCCTCCTTCCCTCCCTCCCTCCCTCTTTCCCTCCCTCCCTCCCTCCTTCCCTCCCTCCCTCCCTCCTTCCCTCCCTCCCTCCCTCCCTCCCTCCCTCTTTCCCTCACCTCCTTTCTTTTTTGTTTTATGAGGCAGGGTTTCTCTGTTTAACAGCCCTGGCTGTCCTGGAACTCTCTTTGTAGACCAGGCTGGCCTCAAACTCAGAGATCCGCCTGCTTCTGCCTCTTGAGTGCTGGGATTAAAGGTGTGCGCCACCACACCTGGCCCACTATGCTCAGATTTTTTTCTCGTGATTCTGAGAACCTAACTCAGGTCCTCGGGCTTGCAGGACTGACATCATACCAATGGAGCCGTCTTCCTCTCACTTATTTCTCACCAGCCCTTTCTCTGGGTTCTGGGAGTTTCTCTATCTTTAATTTGTTCTCCTTCCTCCTCTGGTTCCTTAAAGTGAAAGCCAAGGCACTTATTTGACATTCTCCTTTATTTTGTGACACAGATATGCAACAATGCACACATTCTCCTGGGAACAGTTTTAGCTGAAGCCCAGGCAGTGAAGTGCTACGTGCTGTGTCATTGCTTACTTAGTTTAATATACTTTCTAGATTATGCTTTGGCATGTTGTTCCGCCTATGGGTGGTTTAGAAGCCAGGATTTTAGGGGACAGAGGAGGTGGTTTAGTGGGTTATGTGCTTGCCTTGTAAGTATGAGGACCTGAGTTCAGATCTCTAGTACCCATGTAGAAGCTGATCATGATATCATACGCCTGGAACCCTACTGCTGGCGAGGTGGAGAAGGACTCACTGGTCAGCCGCTTCGGCCTAAAGCAGTGGCTCTCAACCTTCCTAATACTGGGACCCTTTAATACAGTTCCTTGTGTTGTGGTAACCCCAACTATAAAATTATTTTGTTGCTAATTAATAATTGTAATTTTGTGACCATATGAATCATAATATAAATATCTGTTATGCAGGGTATCTAATATGTGACCCCTGTAAAAGGGTCATTTGACCCCCCCCAGGAGTCTTGACCCACAGGTTGAGAACCACTGGCCTACAGGGAAGAATTGGGTCACTCAAAAGATAAGGCAGAGATTGGTTGAGAAAGACACTCAACATTGACCTCTGGCCAGCATAGGTGCATGCATGAGCAAGTGTCATCACACATGCTCATATAAAACTTCCCAAACATGTAAGAGTGGGCTTTGGTTTCTATTCAGGAATATTCCAGACCTGTTACTGACTGCTAATTTTACTCCATAGTAGTCAGAGAACAACATATTTAAGTGTGACCTAAATCTTCAAATTTATGGACACTTGTTTAATTACTCTTCTCGCTGTGATAAAATACTTAACAGAAACAACTTAAAGAAATCAGGGTTTATTTTGGCTACTGGTTTGAGGAGAATCAGTCCATCCTGGCAGGGAAGGTACGATGTGTCTGGTCACACGGGGGAATGAGATGAATGCTTAACTCACTTTCTTCTTTGTTCCCTTTCATTCAGTCCAGGGTCACATCTCATGGGACAGTGCCAGCCACATTCAGGACGGTGTTTCCTCCTCAGTTAGATCTCTCTGCAAACACCTTCACTCATACCCAGAGGGGCGTGCATCTGCTAGCTGATCTCAATCCAATCAAGTTGACAATGAAGGTGAACCAGCACATGTTCTGTGTTTGCAAATGTCCTTCAGGAAGTTGAGCAGGGTGTGTGCACTACACTTAGGTGTGGGAGCTCTAAACATCAAGTGGCTAATAAAATCCAGAGTTTTCCATTGGGACTTTGTTTGTGTAAGCTGGGCTCCTGCCTCTGTCTGCCGTGCTCGTCAAGTTGCAGATACATCATACCACCCTCTGCCTCCCTGCCCCATAGCCTTCTTTGTTAGTCTGTGCTTCCCCGTCTCACCTCCTTTCTCCTGGAGAGCATCAGGCACTAGACGTGAGGTCAGCATAAACTCAGCACGGTCTCATCCTGAGATCCTCCCTCCATCACACCTGCAAAGATCCTTTCCCAGTAGTCTCATTCAGAGTCCAGGTTCGGGCATCTTTGGGGAGCAGCACATTCCAGATCAAGGTAGTCATCTAATCCAGGCAAATCTAAAGCCTTCGACAGATCCCAAGGATAAAGCATAGTCCTTGCATCTCTGTGTGGCCCTTTGCTGCCTACACTTCAGCACACTGAGGTTGGGCTGGGGTGCCCTTCAGCAGTGAGACCATGCTGGGTTTACAGTGCTCTTAGACATAATGGTGCTTTCCCCACAGGAGAAATGACTGTGTGGTTCTGCTCATGAGGCTACGCAAGCAGCTTGGCTGACCTCTAGCTCTGTGGCTGATGATTTGGAGGATAACTGCAATCTCATGTGACCTCCAAAACAGCTCCTTCCCTTCAAGACAGCATTTTATGTGAGCCCTCCAGTGTCCTTACCGCATGTGTTTTAAAATCCTCTCTCTGAAGATACTCCGTTTAAATCTGGTCTTTCAGTGCCCAAGATCCCAGCTTGCTGTGAATTCTTTGGGTTTCTGGCTCTGCTCTACACTGATGGCTCTGGAGACTTTGAGGTGATGATGCCCTGGGCTGTCCCTCCGGATATTCAGCCATTCATACCACAGCAGCAGAGCCCTGGCAAGCAGAGTTAGGACAAGGTAAGCAAAACGTCATGTAGTGTCCCCCTCCCCCACTCTGAGCCTCAAACTCATAGAAATCTGCCTGCCTCTACCTCATGAGTGCTGGGGTTAAAGACGTGGGCCACCATTGCCTGGCAACATTGTGTTTCTAAGGGAAAAGCAACATAGTAACACTCTTCATTTTATGTTCTCTTCCACCTGAGATTTAAGCCCAAACTGGGCATGGTGGCTCACATCTATAACCCCTACAGCTGGAAGACTGATTCAAGAGGATTGCCTTGAGTTCTAAGACAGCCTGGTCTACACTGTGAATTCAAAGCAGGTTCTGGTTGCATAGTTATGTTCAAGGCGTCTTGGGACTACAGTAGTGGAATTCCAGAGAAAAGTAAGAAAGTAACAACCGGCTGGATGACTTCAACCTGTCAGAGCTTGAGGTCAATAAATGTTAACCAGGTAAGAGTTATAAGACACAAAAACGGCATTCAGCAGATTTTCTCTAGCACATTCTAGCCATTTCTGTCTACTCGCTTTAGTTTTAAGGTACATAGCCAAATAAAGAAATCCAAAGACAACACCATTCCTTAAAGTAAATGTAATCTGATGTCTCAGCATTCTTCACTGCCTGGGGGAAGCCACATTTCTATGTCTCTGAGTGTGTCAGTGTATGGAAGCAGACTGTGTCAGACACTTTTTGTCTAAGGAGCCAATGTTCCTCCACCAGGAAGACACCGCAGAGCTGGTTCATGGAGTTTTGAGTTCTGCAGAGGGAAGAATATCGAGGTTAAAGTGTCTTGGCTACAAGCGTCTGCTTAGTCTCACACTTGTCTGCTGGCCCCGCTTATGTCCACAGCAGCAGATGGCCAAGTAAAGGCAGTGAGAGGAATTGCTGACTTATGTTTGTGTCAGTCTGGAAACTGTAGATGGAGTTGCTTCTGATGCCCCTCTTGCCTCCAGAATCTGGCTCTAATCTCCTTAGCCACTGCTGGGCCCCAGGCCCTTGCCTACTTTATTATCTAGATCTCTAGGACCTCACAGCTAGCTGTCCTGAAAGCCTGCCTCCCTCTGTGTTGCTCTTGCCTCATCCTGTGAACATAGTGTTCTTGGGGCACCCTCTGAGCCCCCTCCCCCACACTCTTCTGCCCACTGTTCTGGCTGGACTTGAGTCTCACATGCTGTTCTCTCACCAAGCATCAGATATTGTCCAGTGTATGACCTTCTGGAGCCAACCAAAACCACATACTCAGTGTTGATCTCACATACTGGTCTGTGGTCTGTCTTAGTCACAGAACACCACAGATCATGCAGTTTGAAGGCCAGGCATTTGCTTCTCACTCTCCTGGAAGTTAAGGTGCCAGTGGATTATAGTGTCTGGTGAAGGCCTGCTTTCTGGTTTAGAGAGGACACCTTCTCCAGGAGTGAGGCAGCTCTCTGAACCTGTCTTTAGGATCCATCCTCTGAATATCTTCCCCACTGTCTAGTTCCTCAGTCTTTTCCTGTCCCCTAGGGGTACAGTTTTAGCCCATGCATTTGGGGAAACAGCTCTGTTTGGAGAAAGGCCCAACAGGCATTGCACACCCACCGAATTCTGAATTTCTGAGTCCTCTTTGAACTCATCACCAGTGCACGGGCCCACACCAGGGCAGGCAAAGGAGGAAGAACGAATGTATTTGGCTTACACTGCACTATCACTGTTCATCACTGAAGAAAGTCAAGACAGGAACTCAAACAGAGCAGGAACCTGTAGGCAGGAGCTGATGCAGAGGCCATGGAGGAGTGCTGCTTACTGGTTTACTCCTCATCGATTGCTCAGCCCAGGATTGGCACCACCCACAATGGGCTGGGCTCTCCCCATCAATCACTAACTCAGAAAATGCCCTACAGGCTTGCCTACACCCTGCCTACAATCTTATGGAGGCACTTTCTTAATTGAGGTTCCTTCCTCTCAGATGGCTTTAATTTGGGTCAAGTCGACATAAAACTACTCAGCGCACCCAGGGTAGAATACATTTACCTGACTTGGGAGTATGGTCATGAGATTAGGTTCTGGTAGCAAATGAGACATAAGCCCAAGATTCATTGCATTTTGGAAAGTACCTTTAAGAGGAGAATATCTCCATGCAGGCTAGAAAGTAGAAGATATGGCTGAAGCCACAACACTTGTGTCTGGTTATGAAACAACAGTGGAAATGACAACCGGTGAGAAACAATGATCCTCCCTTCATAATGAAAGCGCTAAAGACTCGGAGTAGCAAAAGCCAGGCAGTTTATTTTTCAATCTTGAAATTCCAGGCATCAGCTTGAGAAAAAGCAGAAAGGGTTGGTACACTAATCTGGCACAAAACAATGGTTTTCATGCTCCTAATTGCATTTCCCTGCTCCCGAATTCCTCATTGGTTGAAGTCTTCAGGGAAGTACAAACTGACAGTTGGTTCAGTCCCCATCCCAAATTACCCATCTTCCTGGGACTCAAGACACGTGTATTCAGTCACCTAGCAGACTGTCTGTGATGTTTTAATTATAAGAAAAAAAAAAGTGTTCAGGTAAGCCAGCGCCGGCCACTGACTAGGGAATGCAGGGGCCCAGTGCCTCCTGCTTATCTGTGACTCTGGTGAGCTCTAAACACACCTCGTTGTAAAACAGAACATAATGATTTACTTACACAGCTCTCCTTGCCAACAGAGCAACAACAGAGAGAGGATTGGGCCTGAGGGAGGGCCTGCCATCCCAGGTAGGCTGGATGCCTCTACCCTTGGTAAATGTAAAGAAGTAAAGCTTTAACAGGGATTGCCATTGTTTTGGTTTCTCTGCTGCTAGCCTTGAGGTTACTGGGATGCTGGGGGTAAGAAAGCAAAGCCCATGGCCCTGGGACTTGTGTTTGCAGGCCAAATAGACTTAGGAAACCTTTTAACTCCCCTGGAGACTCGATTTGCAGCGCCTCCCAGCCCCACTGCCTTCACTGAAAAGACCTCTCTGCCTGACCCCTTGGTCCCTTTCCCTGTACTGCCTCCACCACAGGGATCCCTGCAGGCTCTGGTGCTCCAGTCTCCTGGGTCTAACCCTGTAGGTCTGTCCCTTTTGATTTTTCCCTGTGCCCTGCTTTTTCTGGCCTCTAGAGCTGCTTTATGCTCCTCCTTCAGGCAGCCTTTGTTACCTTGGTGGTACACCATCTCGGAAGCTCCAACTTCTCAGCTGTTCATGGTCTAAAGTCTGGGGCAGAGTTCATTAACCGGGGTGCACACCTTTCTCTGTTTGACATGTGAAATGATCACCCACAGGGTTCACTGGGAGAACCACGGCATCAGGTTACAACAAATGACAAAGGAAACCGCATAATGTTTTTACGTTTTCATTTTTTTTTAAAAAACTTTTGGCTACATTCCTGGCTATTTCTTGCCACAGGTGGCTTGCAGGGTGCAGGTTAGACTTGTCTGAAATGATGTATGGATTAGCAGATGATTCTTAATGATGATGTGGTTTTTGGCTCAAAACCACCAAGACATTTAGGTCATGTAGTAGTCATTGTCTGAGAACAAAATGGAAAGATTCCTTTGGAGAAGAAAAAAACTTTAGAAGGATTTACCTACACATGTCTTCATTTTCATTAATACTTTACTATTTTTGCATCAGCTCAGGCTGAGCAGACTCTTAAGACTCAAAAGGTCCCCTCTGCAAACTAATGCCCTATCATCCGCATGAGCCCAGAGCCTTGGGGAGAGAGAGGGAATTACCCCCAGCAGTCAGGGAGAGTCCCCACAGAGCAGTCTGGGAAGGGCTGGAAGAGGATCTAGGGGACCTCAGGGTGATGGGTTATCAAAGCTGTAGCAACTGGCCCTGTGACATTCCAGGGCAGGCCTGCCAGGTCTGTATCACACTGCCATATCACTAGGTAAAGGGTGGAATGTATGGGGTGCACCCCTCTCCCTCCTGCTCCTTCCTTCTGTCCCAAGTAGGACTGGATAGTGGATACCATCCTAGGGGTGTGTGTGTGTGTGTGTGTGTGTGTGTGTGTGTGTGTGTGTGTGTGTGTGTGACAGCTCCCTGTGACTCCTAGGAACCACATGAAGATGATCAGGAAACTGTAACCACTCCTGAGCCAACTAGACACACCTGTATCCACACATTTATATCTTACATACACGCTGGTATGCATGCCTGCTGGCCCACAGGTAAGTTTGTACTACATACACACTCATGCTCCTGCAAGCAGAGGTCTTGAGCAGATGCACATGGTCTGATAACACACCAGGGGCTCCTATCTGGCTCTTCACTGTGATGGTATTTGTCTGAATAGAACCCTTGTACATAGTTCCAGCATGAGTGGACCGGGCCAAGAGTCTCTGAAGATCACAGGCTTCTCAAGCCACTTGGCTTTAAGGGGACGGCATGGCGGCATAGCCATCAGACACTGAGCAAGGGAAGGATGCTTGAACCCCATTCTGTGACAAGGTGGGATGTGCCCTCCCTTCTTAGAACTCTCGTGCAATCAGAGCTGAAGGACACATGTTTCATGTCACTGGTGAATTTTTTCTTAATATCTGTATTTTAAAATGTACTGGTGACCCAGAGTGGGTGTGTGTTTTGGCAGGTGCTTCTCCAGTTGAACTGAGTGTTTGCTTGCAGACTCTGAGCTGTAACCAAGTGTCCCTGAGCGCACTGTAGTGCTCAGTTATGCTTTAGACAAACATTCCCCAAGGCAACACGTTGTTCCTGGTCTCTTTGCTGTATTTAGAGTGGATGGGTTGGCTCTGACACACTTTGGGAATCCACTGTTGTTTCCAAAGCTCGGGTACTAGGTACAGTCACAGCTCACCTGTCATCACCTGAGTGCCGCTCAACACTAGGGTCAGGTCACAGCATAACCATTGCCCTTCTGGTCTCAGCCCCTGGATCTTTCGGTGGTCATCCTTCTCTGCCTCCCCACCCTTCTCTGTTATAGGGCAGGCGGAACTGCCTTCGAGGGCTTTCTTAAAGCAAGACTGAGTACTTGTGCCCGGAACAGAACTGGGCATCCTACCCTATGCTTCCTGTCT